TCTCCCTTTTAAATGCATTTCCCCACACCCTAGCCATCGCCTGGCTTATTCCCAGTCACTTTTCTAGGTCAGACACTCTGAGGCTTCCCCCTTCTCCATTCCCTGATTGCTGCTCTTGGAGTTTGCAAACCAGTCCTGTCTCCCATCCGTGTTTATTTGATTAGGACCTAAGGGTCTTTCCCACAAGCCTGGAAGCTGTTGGAAGGCTACAGCTGCGTGTCGCTCAGTCGTAACTCAGCCCCTATTAGTGTTTGGCCCATAGTAGACAGGTAATACAGTGTTTTGAAAGAATGAATGAATGAATTAATTAATTAATTAAATGAGTGGTACACACTTTTCAAGCTTATGAAAAGGGCCGCATTTCAAGAGCCAGCCTCAACCCCCAAGACCGCGTGATGGGAACGAAGCATGATCCGCCACTGCGGAGATGATGCATCCGAGCTAGGCACCTGCAACGTCAGCCAGCACCTTATGAGATGTTATACTTCCCAACTCGTGCGTTCCAGAAGCAATTTTCATTCCATCAAGTTGTGGTAACTCTCACATTCAGAATACATTTTCTGAAGGATCTGTGGAGAGCCGTGAAGAGTAGCAGCTGACCGGTTTCTTCTGAAGAATATTTTTCACAGAACTCATTCATTATGTGTAGGTATACACACATTTATTAACCAGATCAAAAAACCTTTTAAAAAAATCTATTTGAACTTTTATCGTAAATGTAAGATAAAAATGCAAAAACATTTTAAGTACAAATTAAGCTGTAGTTATTTGTGAGCCTCTATTGATTTCCTGCCCACACCTCCCTACCCTTCCCTCGTACCTTCCGTGGGTAGAATTCCCACGATAGAAGGGAAGCTTCCGGGTAGACACTGTAGCCCTGGGAGATGAAGCATATGGGAGATGCAGCAGGTTTCAGAGAAAAGGGGGTCAGCTCTGTTCCTTCCACATGAAAACCATTGTTTACTCTTCACCAACAACCAAGGGGCAATGACTGTATGACACATGGGAAGATGTATATTCCCAAGTGATCACTCAGTATTAAAAATACCAACTAAATAAAGTACTAGATCTGCTCATCTTCGTAGCTCCTAAACTGGGAGAAATTTGCCCTTCTGAACTCTAGCATTCAGAAAATCCTGGAAAAGGTACAACTATATCTCAAAGAAGCAACAGAAGAAAAAAAAAAAAAACCCTATAAGCAAAGGGCAGATCAAGCCCTAGATAGCTCCTCCCCCCGCCCCCTGCTTCCATGTGCATGTTATAGGAAATAAAAAATATTTTCATTTAATAACACATGGTTCAACATCATTGCTATGCCAGGACCTAGACTGCATAAATGGCTTCTCCTTGGTAAAAGCGTCTTCTTCCCCGATGGAGTCAAAGCCCCCGAAGGAAAGAGCTTACACCCAGCTAAGTAGCCTTCAGGAGTAAGGGCTAACATGGTATTGGAGGTGATGAAAAATAACCCAGGGGCATGAGGAAGGGGGCAAGGAAGAGACTGCCAAGCAGCTAGCTTATTTCGTTTATGTTTTTTCAACTAACAGGTTTAGTTACCTACTATAAAATTATGAAATTGATAAAGTTAGCATTTGCTCATTTTATGTACTTACTATGTCTCCTGGTGCTGTGGGTTGACTGAGCTCAGCCAGCCACTTCTTGCTTGGGGGTCTTTCATGCAATTAGTCAGACAGCAGCTGGGGCTGGAGTCCTCAGAAGGTTCAAAAGAACTGGATGTCCAGGATGGCTAATGCATTTAGCAGGCAGTTGATGTTACCTGTTGGCTGGGAGCTCATAGCTGGGAGCAACTGCATGTTTTCAAGCTGTACACTGCAGGTGACCTGGACTACGCATACTTCTCAAAGAATGCGGCTGGAGCCCTGGCCAGGAGGCTCAGTTAGTTGTAGCTTCATCTCATAGAAGGTTTCAGGTGTGATTCCAGATTAGGGCACATACCTGGCTTGCAGGTTCGTTCCCAGGTCACCTGGCTACTGATCCATGTTCCTCTCTCACATCGATGGTTTCTCTCTCTCTCTCTCTCTCAAATCAATAAACATATCCTTCAGTGAGGATACAACTGAAAAAATAAAGAATAAAGAAAAAAAAAGAATGCAGCAGGACCCTGAGAGAGTGTGTCCCAAGAGGGAGGGTTGGAAGCAGAGAGATTCTTGTGATCTGGCCTAGAAAGGCCTAGTGCCACTTCAGCTGAGCCCAAATTCAAGGCAGGGACTATACAAGAGTGTGAAGAAAGGAGGCCTGGCTCCTGGGCCCGGGCATCTACGGAGACGGAAAAAATGTCTAAATATCCCCAACATTACACAATGAGCTTTACATACATTATTTCATTCACAAACGCCCTAACAGGTAAATATAATCGTCCTTAAAAGGCTATTGAAAGGAAGGTTCCACCACATCCTAATCCGAATTCCCTCGAGATAATGAAGGGGCTTTGTTGAACCTGTAAACATTTAAGTGCTACTGACTCCTCTCCAAAAGGCCCTTCAGAAAAGGGCCCCGCACACAGGGTGTATACTTGTGTTTTTTTACGTTAGAGTGGGTTTAAAGGCCTTTGCCCCTTTCCCACTGCAGTAGGCAGGGTAGCCCTATAACTCTCAACCGTCTTTATCGCATGGTTGATCACTTTCCCTGCCCACAGGGCAAGAACTTTCCACTCCGAACCCCAGTCTGCTGCCTGCCACTGTTAACTGCCCACCCTACCCTTCTCCTCACTCTCACAGGTATCAGATTGTTTTTCATATCACTTTTTTTTTTTAGTTTCAGATCATATAAATCTGTGGTATCTTTCAGAGCTAGACGTTTAATTTTTGATTAAAAAGAAAAGTAAGTATATATGACTTTGTCCTCAAGTGTTAAAAGCCTGAGAACCCGAGTCACGGTGCACCTTGCCTGTCCCCTCGCGCCTAGCTGCTGCCGCGGGGGTGTTTTGTATAACGCACGAGTGGGCCCCAATTAGAAACAGGAATGCATTTGCAGTAAGTATTTATTATGTTGTTCTGAGCGCACAGCTTTCATTTTGCCCGCTGTAGCTTGAAGCTTGACACAAACTGTTGGTTTGCTGACTGCCTCTCTGGCAGCCACACACACAGAAAATAGATTGCTAAGGGTTGTTTTCCTCCTCCTCCCCCTCTCCTCTCCTCTCTCTCCCCCCTCTCCTTTTTCTTTCTTCTAAACCCGTCGTGAACATTTTTTAATCTTGTGGCATTTTTAATCAACACGTATTTCCTTCCAGGACCTATGATCCTCTATTGATTCCCATTAAAATGCTTTTCTTTTCTTGGCCCCCTCTGCTGATCGAATTTCAGATCAGCCACAGGATCCGCCGCTAACCTTCCGGCCCCGCTGCGCCCGCCGCGCGAGGCGATCCAAAGGCTGCGCCTTGGCGGCCCGCGCCCCGGCCGGAGCGCTGGGGCGACGTCTCGCTTTGCATGGCAATTTTTTTTTTCCCCTTTTTTTGTCGTTACCCCCACCTCCAAATTTTTTTTTTTTTTTTTTTTTTTTGCCTTTGATCGCTAGGGAAGGGGGGGTGAACGGGAGAACAAAAGAGGCCGATCTTTTTCCCCGGGGCTGACGTCAGTTTGATTTTACTGACAACTATTCGAGCGCGTGCAGCGGTGGGAAGCGGCGCCTCGCCGCCCCCGCCCCCCACACCTTCCACTTTGGGGGAGAAAACAAGACTTTTAGCGGCTCCGGAGACGCGCCCTGAAAATGGCCCGCGCGCGCTCGGCGCTCGCTGCCCTCCAGCCTGCTTGGCAAAGGGCATCCGAGGCTTGTTTGTGTGGCACGATCTTCACTGGGGCGGAAAGCACGCGGCGGGGGAGGAGCGCGCCGGGCGGGGAGGCCAGGAATGTTCCTT